TCAGGTTGTCTTGCGGGATATTACAGTTTGTGTGTTGTTCAGAGCAGGCTAATATAGCAATAAAAAGAAGCAGCTGCTGAGGTTGTAAATTAAAATTTACCGAAGGATTACCAAAAATATAATCGACTTGAAGGCCAGAAGAGCCAAACCCTTCAGAGAACTGCTCTGTTTCATGTGGATGAAACCCGTCCAGTACTAGTCTGTAGGAGCCCACATTTAGACATACATTCAGTGATACATTAGAAAGCCAACAAGCTGAGGGTAGGTAGGACAGCCCTGTGTGCTTGGTGTGTCAGGGATGCTGTTTTCTCGAGTCCTTAAATGCCTTTTTTTTTTTTTTTTTAAATAAAAATTAAGGGTATGTATCTAAGAAGAGTTTTTAGGGTAACATTAGTGCACTGTGAATGAATGGAGTTGCTGTGAATTATTTGGGAGCAAGGGTTGTTAGGGTCATGGCACTGGGACCTACCTACTTTATGGTACAAGAAAACCTTTTCTTTTTTGGCCTCCTTCCCTGCTGATTTTAGCGTGGCATTTGTAGGTCTTACCAACAGTGGGGTATTTTAATTGGAATTAGCTGTTCTGGAATGGCATCCCATGTGGAGGAGGGTCTATTGTGAAATATATGCGATTTTTTTTTTCTTTTGTTCTTTCTTTCTATTTCTTTCCATTACAGAACTATTACTTTTCTTTAGAAGTACACAATATTCCCAAATAGAATTTATTACTATTTTTTAATACTATGTCCTGTTGAGGGGCTGTTATGGAGCAGCCACAACAGCCACTCTGAATCCATCTCCTTGTCTAGTCAAGAACTTGAAGCTGTATATTACTTACTTCACACACCTCTATTCAAGAAGGTGGTGCATGCACAAGCTGTTCAGTGTTCAAACCTGCAGAAAGCTGTAAGATACTAATTTTGTATAAAGTCTTCAGAAGTTGTAGGTATTAAAACCAAAAAAGACTGCTGAGCATGGGTATGATGGTTTTTACCTCCTAAAGGCTTATAATTTGGACAGATACATCCCTGATACAAACCCCCCTGCATCCCTGCCAAATTTCAAGTCTGATGTTTTAGAAAAGAGCAAATGCTTCCAGATTTTGTTTGCCCAGCCAAAACTCTTTTTTTCTTGTGTTCAGAACCACCTAAAACACTTGTTTCTCCCCCCACCCCCAATTTTAATTTCAGTCGGTGTGTGGTAGGAACAAAACCTCCAGCCAGGTCTCAAAGTTTGGCAAAGCTGTCTCAGCTGAAGAGAGCTTCTTTATGAGGTTTTTTTAAGCTTCCCTATGTAAGGCAAGCTGATTGCACCACCTGTTAAAACATTAATAACTGTAAATTGTGGGGAGAAGGAGCTCGCAGGTTGACAGTTCGGGGCCCTGGACCCCAGTACTGCTGGAGTTACTCTGCAGGTGACTTTCTGAATGCTGTCGACAGAACCTGTCCCCTTTGTGCGCTCCCAAACGCGTGGCTTGTGCTGAAGTGCATAACCTGGTCATTGCAGCATAGGCTGTGTGATTCTCATGGCTCAAGGAATGAATTATGCAAAGTAAAAATACCTGAGTTTCAGAGTTTTCTCTCTGAGATTCAGCATTTTCATATCTTTTGAAATGGCAAATGTGGCAAGTGCTGCTAATACAGTGTTGCTCCTTGTTCTTCCCTGTCTCCTCACTGCTTCTGAGGTTTTAAATTAATTACAGAAATCTGAAAATGGTTTTAACATTGATGGTATTTGCACTCTACAGCTGTTTGCAGCAGAGTTTGTCATTTCATTAAATTTTCAAGAAAACAATTTGATGTTCACTGTCTCTTTTTCCCTCCTTCCCCTTTAGCCTTCTGAACTGCTGCACATTCTGTCCCCGAGTAGTTTGGCCAGTCAAAGTTGAAAAAAAAAACCCTATTCTTTAGGAGACACAAATTTCTTGCAAGTTAATACAGGATTTCCAACTCTGGATGAAAGTTTACGGACAGAAAGTTAGTCCAGAAGTTGCCCAGTACCCATCTGTATTGGCACTGCTCTGCTCCCTAAGTGCCCAGTAGCAGATTGCCAAGCTGACTTGCCCAGCCAGCTCTGGAAGATCGGGCTCCGAGCAGACTTTGTTAGAACCCTTCCCAGGAGGTAGAGCTTCGCAGTAAAACTTGCACACCTCTCCAGGTCCGTGCCACCAAGCTGCTGTTTGGCAGCTACACCTGGGTAAACGTGTACAGTGCTGAACCTCAAATTCTGCCAGCCTGGACAAGCCAGGCTTGATGCACTCTGGACTGTCTCTTCTTTTTAGTGGAAGGAGGAAAGATAGTTGTGGTGGCGATGGCTAGCTGGTCAGCTCCCTGGTCCTTAGCAGGTTGGCCCGGCTGTAAAACTGAAAACAAGAATCAACCTTTACTCTGCTGTAAGTGCAGGTGGAAGTTAAGGAGTCTTAGAAGCTATACCATTCTGACTGCAGTGGCTTTTTAAAATAACAGTGTTCCCCTTGATTTGTACACAATTATTCAAGTATAAAAGACTTCTGTGCCACTTAACAGCATCTATTCTCAAGCCTGTATTTGGCAGATTAATCAAATAATCACATACTTAAACATTGTTATCGATCTGGATTAACTTTCAGGTTTGGGACCGGAGCCTGCAAAGCACACGTAGCATCTCACTGCAGTGGGATCTTGCTTCAGTTCCTGCTCCTTTCCAAACACTCTTTGGTTTGTTCTCATTGCAGCACTGCTGGTGCTTTGCAGGCTCCGCAGTTGCTACAGTGGCAGATGCTCAGTGGATATTTCATCTGAGCTTACTCTTTTTCTGAGTGGTATGAGCTCAAGTGGAAAATCTTCAAGAGAATTACTCAGCATGTAATACTCCTCATGCTCATAAGTCGCAGGATTTGGACCATAATTTACACAATTAACTTCATTAATCATAAAATGCAGGATTTAAGGTTCCCAGGATATTAGGTCTGGTGCACAGAGTACCGTTTACGTTTATATGTAACAACAGAGAGCCAGCTTCACTCTATATCAAAACCAATAGGAGATGAAGACAAAAGGCTTCTCCATCAAGACCTGGATTTGTACTTAAGCCTCAGGTGTGCCCTCAGGTTCTCCAGCATGATTACTGTATGCGTACCTACAGTGGTTTGTGACAGATGCGATGCCCAGTAGCATTTAGGAAAGAAATCAGGGGAAAATATAGCTGTGAAAATACATCTTGTCACACTCTCAGGTCTTGACTTTTGGGGGGTGCAGCTGTACAGTCTTAATTTTAGCACTTACACTTCATGCTGTTGATGAGAAAGAGCCCACTCCGTTAGGTTAAACTGAGAAATACACAGATGTTGTTGCACATCTGAAACATGCAGTGAGGCTCTTTTGCAATTTATGTTTTCTGTCAGAATCAGTCCATTGCCTTAGGAAGGTTAACCCAGCTTTTAGCTGGCAATTTATCTTACATGATGTTGGAGGATTTAGAGACAATTTAGGAGCTATAGCTCAAATAGGAAAAATGACCTCGAGCTGTTTCTGAGCTCTGAATTTCTCCCTCCAACTCAGCTCATTCTCCAGCCAAAGTGTTCGATTTCCCAGACTTTGACCCCAGTATGTTTTCATCTATAAATCTCAAAAACCTTTTAATTAAATATGTGACTTAAGTAATCACGCAGTTTTAAAGTACACCATTTAGGGAGGCGTGGATTTCTCTTTAAATCTGGGGAAGCCCAGCTGCTTCTTTCTAGCTTTCCAGAAAATTGCCTGAAAAGCTGTGCATTACTAACACAAGATTGCTTATAGGTTGATGTATTTTTGCAGAGCACATCCTTCATACTTACACTTCTAAATAACTGTAGCCTCTTAGAAATTGTATTTTTTTTTTTTTACATTAAGCACTGGTAGGAGAGCGTATTTTGATATCTGCTTACATTTTAAGAGCTGAGTTTCTGCTATTAAAGATCTGCTCGCACGTATCATAAAGTTTGAGGGTGCTATCGTTGTGCATGGAAGAAGTTTTTGTTTTATTGAATAAAAATGGCGGGAAGTATTTTCCTTGAACTCTGTACATTTATCTTCAGACAGAAGGCAAAGATTAATTTTTGGGCTGATCTTTTTTAATGTTCTCAGTGTAATCTGGAATTGTTTTTGGTTTTGCCCCTCATTGTTTTTCATTTTAACTTAAAAACATAGAAGTCTGTTGCTGGAACATGTTCTGTTGAGCCAAAACATTGCATCTGTTGCTGCAAGCTAACGAGAAATTTAGTTATTTCTGCACAGTCCTCATCTGGCATTACGAAGTGGTTTTTGATGAAGAAACAGCTATCGGAGGGGTTGTTCACTTTATAGTTAAATACTTTTGTACTAACTTTTGAGCTCTGAAGAGTTTTCCCCAAGTTCCCTCACGCATAGGCATCTTAGGCAAACTGCATGGTTCAGAAATACTCACATTTTTACACTGAAATACCCAAACTGCTGTGTCTGTGACCCCACAGGTCAGAATCTGTTTTAGGATTCCCCACCGTAGCTCACATTGTCCAGAACTGCACCTTTGTGCAGTAAGCTCACCCTGTACGGTATCCAAAGTAGACTTAGACATGAAATCTGAAGTTTTACGCTTAGAAGCATTTATTGTATGCATTTTTACGAAAAGTAGTGCAAGATGCACTTTTCTGACCGTTCTGTGTTTAATTAGAGTGTGTAGAACTGCTTGTGTATCTCTGGCTCCCTTTGTCTTGTATTTATTTCTGGTTCTTACAGCGTCATCTTCATTGTAAAAATTTTGCAATCTTCAGGGGTCAGATGGGCACAATCCCAGCACTGAACTGTGCTTTATGGGACACAATGTAGCTACTCTTGCTTACTCCCCATACTGTGTTTTAAAAAAAAACAAACCAAACCAAACAAACTCTTAGCACATCATCACCCAAGGAAGAATAAATTCAGTTTCTGAAGCTATATATGTTAAAAAAAAAGGTGACTTTGATTATTGTTTCAGATTGTACATCTTTTTTTTTTCTCTCCCCAGGGCCGATTACTGGAAATCTCAGCCAAAAAAATTCTGCGATTACTGCAAGTGCTGGATAGCAGACAACAGACCTGTACGATGGTGTACCATACTACGTCAATGATTTTGAAATACTAGGAATTTGAATTACAGGCTATTAGCATCACACTTCATACTAATCTATTGATGCATGAAATTTGTTGTTTAAAAATGCCTTTGTAATACTTGTGATATTTAAAATACATTACGTGAGAGCCAGATACCTGCATACAAGACGGTGTGTGCTGTTGTGCTTGGCCGTACAGATAAGAACTGAAATATCTGACCCTGCTTTTCCTTCGGGTTCTGTAACTTAACACTTGATCTGTCTTGAAAGTTTGTGCACACCTGCTCCTAGCCTTGCTATGCAAGTAGAGAGCAAAACCTGGCATGGGGACTGTTTGTATATGGTGGGCCTGGTACAGTGAGCGCTTCAGGCAGGTTTCTTTCATTTCACACAGCCCATAGAAACATTACTGGGTTACAGAAAAGTGTTTCTGACTTGCGGATGCCTTTTGCAGACCACTAGAGCCATTGGTTTCATAATTATTTCTAAGTTTTGCATTCCTGACTCGAAGTTCAGCTCCAGCAGTATCCCTGGTGTCATCTGGCTTACACTTAGATACCTGCGGTTCAGAATGACAAGTGTGAGCTGATTGGTTTGGGTTTCTTCTTGTAGGCAGTGAAGAAAAATACACATTAAAGGGGGGGATTTGGGTAACTTACAAAGTCTGTCTTCAAATGAGATGAATCATCCCCCGGATATGCATGCTCTGCGCGTCGGTTCGTACAAAGAAATTCTAGGATTACTAGGTCAGGCTTAGGCACCTAACATCTGAACACCTAAATGAGCTCAGATGGTTTTTGTGAGAACCACAGGAGGACTTCCACTGTTGTACCTGTAGAGTTTCTGAGCTCCTTCCAGTTCCTACTGGCTTCGGTCTTTCTGGCAGCTTTTTATCTTGCAGACTGTTATGTTGTCCGTAGTTACCCAACTCTTCCACTTTGCCTTTTCCTCTCTCTCAGATTGGTGGACCTGCAGACTAGTCTAAGTATTTGTGGAGCGTAGCATAATCTAATTAAGGACCATAGCTAATATTTGGAACTCTTGAATAAGCCATATGGTTTTTAAAAGTTTGCATGAAAACAGAAAGGGTAAAAAAGAAAACCAAGGGATGATACTTGTAATGATAGGATGGAGAAGGAGCCCAGATTCCCTATTCCTTGTCTCTAATATGTGTGCTGAACAGTATTATTTGAAAAATTTTAAATCTTATAAATACAGGCTGTGAAATTTTATGATACCATTTTGGAGTGTTACTGATTTTTCGTAATTCCTATGTTTAGTGTTTCTCAGTGTTCCTGAATTCCTATAGCCATTTTATAGCTGTAGTGTTTGCTCTAAGTTTTTCAGAACAGGTTACGTTTAGGCTTGTTCAGCTAAGTTTAGTCTTAAGTAAATTTTAACTAACGAAAACTTAACTAAATTACATATGTATAACATGCATTATTTTTCTTGCTTTTAAGAGCATTGAATTTCACGAAAGAGGAAAGAATCATAAAGAAAATGTGGCAAAAAGAATTAGTGAGGTAACTAAAATATCTTATTTGCACAAATACTTATTTTTCATTTCTTTATCAGACTTGTTTAATTTATTCTCTTGGGTTTTTTGTTTTGTTTTAGATTAAAAAGAAAAGCTTGGAAAAAGCGAAAGAAGAAGAAAACATGTCAAAAGAATTTGCAGCAATGGAGGAGGCTGCAATGAAAGCATATCAAGAGGATTTGAAAAGGCTTGGAATTAAGCCAGGTAGTTCATATAGCTGCCAAAGGATTAAAGACAGAGTTGAAAGAATATTGAATAGGAATGCTTTTTTTCTTAAATTAGGTTTTAGGAACATGAGAGGAGGCTTCCACAACCCCGTTTGCTCATTAAAAAAAAAAAAAAAAAAAAAAAAGAGTCTAGAGAAGTAAAAGTTGCGGTACAGAATGTTTCTTGCTGCCGTGTCCTTTGATCCATGGAACAATCCGATTTGGAGTACAAAAATTAAACAATGTGATCACAAAAAATAGGTTGTAGTTGGTGTTTTGAATCAGCAGTGCAGCTTCCCTTCGTTAATTTTGTGTTTCACTTTTGCCAGTTGGAGGGAAATGTTCGCATTGAGTAGGAGAGGTTGGGTTCCCACTGGTGTCAAACAGTGGAGATGGGACTCTCCGTCTCATTTTAGCAAGTACCTTTGTCCTGTCCATGCAGAGACACATTACCTGTAAAAAAAGTTTGTGGTTTCAAGCTCCTGTATCAGCTATCTTTTTCATAACTCTTGGTTTCTTCTTTGTTGTCGTTTAGTTAGAGCTCATTGGTCCTTACAGTTTTTCTCTTTACGATTCTCATCTTTTGATATTTGGACTTTCTTATGACACTATAGAGTATTGCTACAGTGCAAGATTCTTTGGATATAATCTTCTAAGTTTACCTACTAAAGGATAATACTAATGAGTGAAAATACTCATAAGAACAAAATTCCCTATTTGCTGTTGCTCAAGAGTGCCTAACATTTAAGCTCAGATTATTACTCTCTTTTTTAAAAAAGGGAATATTGTTTTCTTTCAGATGATGTAGGTCCCAGCTCGACACAGAGTAAAACACAGAATAACACAGTGGAAACTAAAGGAAAGAAAGAAAAGAAAGAGAAGAAGGAAAAGAAGGAAAAAAAAGAAAAGAAAAAAAAGACACCTCAAGACACCTCTGTGCCACCAAAAATTGGAACGAAGGAGTGGGTGCAAGGATTTTCTCCCGAAGGCTATACATATTACTACAACACAAAAACAGGAGGTAAAACCTAGTGAGGAGCAAATGCAGAGATAGTTTGTGGATATAAATGAGAAAAGACTACCTGCATTTCTTTACCCTTCTACTTTCTCAGTAGTAAGATGATTATTAAGATGTGAACAATTAGATGGAGGTTTGAAATTTAACATTCAAGACTTAGGTGTCCAGAACTTCAGACTGGTTTTGCTGTTTGTTAATAATGGAAGAATGCAGTAATTCCACAGTTTCTAGAAATGTTTAGCCTTTTAGAGGTTAAGTATACAAAAGATAGCTGTGATCTTCCCAAAGAAGCTTTCTGATCAGGAATGTGAAATAAATTGATTGTGCCCGAGGAAATGAGAGCTGCTCTCTGATTGCTTCTTTCTGCTTTTACAGGATTTATCTAACTGACCGGCTTCTGTTGAGGAGCTCTGTGTTATGCTCTGCTTTGGAGCATAAAAGCAACTCTCTTTTATAATTAATGAGAATATTACAAACTGTTTCTTAAAAATTTAAGGATTGACATTAGTATTTACCATAGTCTTTCCTCATACAAGATAACATCCAAAAGGTAAAAATCTTGTGTGTTTAGTTTCTTCTGGCCTATGCTACCATTTAAAAAACAAACAAACAAACCCAACACCTTTTTTGTACCAAAATTCCAGTGTCTGAGTATCACCTATGGTTTAATAGAGTCTGGAAGGTGGTCCTGTTAAAGCCAAATGTAGTTATGATACTTTGGTTTATTGTTCATACCACAGTTTGATCGAGGATGATTTATATTCAGGTGAGGTGTATCTATATAACTTGTTTGTATGTGTGTACGCGTCAGTGTCATACCCTTCAGATCTGTTTTTTCTAAAGGTTATTCAACAGGATTGAATGATGGGTGAAATATGTTTTTGGTTTTTTTAAGAATCACAGTGGGAGAGACCTAAAGGATTCCAAGGCAACTCTCAAAACTCACAAACGGTAATCAAATGCTGTTATTCATACTTCTCTTTGTCCTTGTAAACACTTAGCAGGACTAAGCTAAGCAATTTGCAAGTCTTCTGATAGCAGAAGATAAATTGTTTGCTCTTAGTAAACTTAGGAAAACATAAGTTGAGTATATAGAATGTTTTATGATACACTTGATGAAAACCAAAATTTTACTATACACATCTTTTTTGGCTGATTTGTTTATCAAGGGAAGAGAAGTGATAGTGGTGGTTGTGTTTTTACAGAATATGCTTTTTTGATGCTTCAGTCCATAAAATTAAAAGCTTTTGGGAAATTCTGAATAAATTGTGTTCAACCTTTTGTGAATTAAATGTAATTCAAAAAATTACATCTTACATATTTGAAATAGTTAAGACTCCTTTATCTTAGGAAACATTGAGATTGTATTGTCAGTTAAAAAAAAGAGTGCCTATTTTTTGGTGTTTGCTTTAAGATACAGTTATGTGATAATTTCACTTTTTCCTGGGTTTCTTACAGTCATGGAACCTACGTGCAAGCAACCTTTTAGCATTTTACTTTATTTTCCTGATTTAAGGCGCAGGAAAACTTGCAGAATAGTCCAAAAGACAGAAAGATTTCTCCTTATGGTTAATGGTCTTTCCTCTGATACTTACCACTCCAGGATTTTTGAGCTTCACAACATTAAAAATAGAACTTTTACAACAGTCCTGTGAAGTGATGCTACGTTTCCCTATTTTCAAGACAGGTGTCACGTGTACAGTATGATTTAAAGTCAGTTTTGTTTGGTAATGTTGGATTTTATGTTAGAGATAAAAAAAGCCTGGCTTTTTCAGAGTGTTTGACGTTCTGTAGCTCTGTATTGTCACATCTCAGAAAGTAGCCTATGCTTGGTACTGGTTTACTTACAGTCAGAGGAGAAAATGGTTATAATTGTGTATAATTTTGGGCGATTGAGTCAATTCACAAAGTGTACATGAAGTCTTGTGTGTATTCCATCTCTTGTTACGACAGTGTTTTATCTCAAAAATGCAGGCTTTTTCCGTCCAATGTTCTTTCCCAAGAGAATGCACGCTTCGTGTCAGAGCTGCCCATCACATGCTACTCTGACTTTCTGATTCCTGCATCCTGCGGTTTTGCACAACTCGTTAACCAGCACTTCAACTTTATCTTTTCAGTCAAGGCATAGCTTTGCAGTATTTATAAGCCAGTCTTTACTGTAGCCTTCCACTGAAAGATGTGGTCCTGTGACTAATCTTGCACAGTCCTTGGTGCATATTTGCCCTGAGAGCGAACTAGTTCAGGGAGTGAAAACATTGAGAGTTTAGGTTCGTGCTTTGTAGGCTGAGTTCCTTGCCATCAGCTCTCTGGGTAATCGGAGATAGGCCGGTGTGGGGAGAGCAGACGGAGGAGAGAAGGAGCTCCCTTCTTGGCAGCAATTTGAAGTGAGGTCATCTCTGCTGTATCATAAACCCACACCTTCAGCCTTGGTATCTCTCTAATGCCACATGGCTGTATTTTGCCATTCCTCTCTCACCCTGCTCAGTGGCTTTGTGGTGTCTTGAGTTAGTTTCGGTATTGTTAAAAACAAGCTTTTGATTGCTCCCTTATTTAGTCTGAGCTAAAGATATTGGGAACGTTCCAGATCTCTAACAAGGACTCACTGCCCAGAAATTAAAGGGCATGCTTGCAATATGTAGTGCAAGTGAGATTCGCAGGCCCTCCTTGTTTTACACGTTAGCTTGCTGCTCAGACTTTGTAAGAGGTGGAGAGAACAGAGTAGTGAAAAGGCATGTTGAAGACTACCCATAACTTCAGCGAGGTTGACATCACGCTTGTTAGCATTTATGTAGTAGGATACTCGGTGGGCCTAGTGTCAAATATCAGCTGAAAACCTCTTAAGAAGCAGGTCTGCAATGCTCAGGATCTAACTCTAACAAAAAGGGTAGGTTGTACTTAAGACTGGGTTTTTGTGCTCTTTCTACTTAGAGAAAATAAATTTTCCTTTTGCTTCTTTTGTTGAAATTAGCACACTGAAGCTTTTGAGACCAAAACCTTGAGGAAACTTGCTCACTGAAGGCTTTCTTGCCTTTGCCTGCTCTGAACCTACTGGTACAATTTTTTCCGGTTCACAGAGCGGGTGTGAGAACTTTAATTTCTGATTTTGTTGTGTTTTTTAAAAATACAGTGAGGTTTTAATAGAGTATTAAGGAAATGTATAGGTATGTGTGTGCAAAAGCCAATCTATGTGTATGTGTCTGTATACACATAGACATTTAATAATGCAAACATAATGTATGGTGAAGCTGCACAGTTGTTACAGGGGAGCAGGCAGTATTAGTACTTAAGGAGCCGTGAAATAGTTGTATGCGTGTTGATGAAAATCAGATTCTTAAGGAAGATGTTCAGTCATGGGTAATGTGGCTGATTCTTGTAAAACATCTTTATTTTACATAACCCCAAAGACATACCAGCAACTTCTGCCACATTTCATATGTATTTATTAATCCGTATGGAAAAACAGTGCTTTGCTGAAATCGGTGCTTTACTAAAAACATAAATTCATTGGCAGAGTTGATTCTTCAGTTACTTTTGGTGAAGATCTATTTTGGGATAAATTTTAGAAGGGTTTTTGTTTGTTTGTTTACGTTTAATTTGTGATAGTATTTATTGGTATTGGTTTTCTGTAGCCCTCATAAAACCCTGAGTCTTCCGGAGAATTTTTTTATCAATCTGTACTAAAGACAATGACACAGACAGGGGGTGAATACTGTGGAAAATAAAAAACGTGTAAAATAATGGCCTATGTAATAATTTGAACTGTATGGCAACATTTACTATACTGCCTCATACTCATTATCCACTGTTTGAAAAAAAATTGTGTATGTCCATTTGCAGTATTTTAAGTTAAGCAATTCAATCTCATTTGAGTCAAAGGGAATACTTTTTCACAGCTTTAGGGGTTCAAGCTTTGAAACAGTAAAATTATCAAGAACAAAAAATACTCAAGGGTTGAATAGTCTTATAAGTAATGCTTTGGCTGAGCCTTAAAACTTTTTTAATTAGCTCCTGTATCTTTTTCCTAGGCAGCAGAGTGGGTAGAAGGTGTCACTGAAGATGGTCATACCTATTACTACAACACCCAGACAGGAGGTAAGGAGAGCTTGTTTTCCAGTCAAGGTCTGTTTCAGAAGAGAGGGTTTTCAGAGAAGCATTTTGTTTTGAAAATAACTGCATTGTAAGGCCGTTACAAAGTGTTGTATTTTTTAAGCTGCTGCCTTATCTGCGATATATTTGTTGCTTAAGTCGGTGCTGGCTTTGTGTCTGTCTTGTCAGTGTGTATACGTTTGTGCTTCATAGGATTTTTTAGACATTCAACTTTAAACTATGGATTCTTCTTTTCTACATACATACTGAAATTATAGTTTGGAGACCAGAAAGGGGCAGGATTTTGTTTTGACAGGTATGTAGGACTGAATAAGAATCTCTTAAACTTTTCCTTTTGCTGACATAGGATTGATAAGAGAGTCCAGAATCTTACCTCCTCCTTCTTTTCCCTGTTTCTGTTCCCTACATGGGGAACTTCATGGTAACTCCCTCAGAACAGGCATCTGTTTTCTAAATCTGTTTGAATTATTTTAAGGTCAATGATGCCTCTCTGGAGAGCAAGTGATTTTATGCTGTCTATGAGTTTTCCTTCTGCTGTTGGGTATGAAGTGGCATTCCTAATGATGCCAAGAATAGAAAAAAAGCCAAAACCTTCCAGTTTTTCAAAATGCCACTCCCCTGTCCGAATGATTTGTGATTTCTTCTTTTGTAAGGGAAAGGAGATGCTGGTTATTTTTAAACGTTGCCTTCTAAGTTCAGATACATTTTATGTCTTTGGTTGTGTTGCTTTTTTAAAGTTCTTCATGGACACGTGACACTCGTGAAGAATGTCTTTGTAGTCATCACATTTGGTAAAATTTTGGCTTGTGAGATTTTAAAGTGTTCTCTTACTTTTATATAGCTGTAGGTGTCTTGGAAATGCTTCAGGATTACTTGTCAGTTCTGTTCATGCTAATCCCATCCTCTGAAGGCAAGACAAATTTTTGTCCAAGGGAAGTAGTCGTAGTGTCTTATCTCAGGCATGTGACTTAGGAGACCGATGTCTCTAGGCTTAGCACTACAAGTCATGCTTTGGAAGGCTGCACCTTACTCCACTGGCTGTATGTGGCACCTAGGAAAGTGAACTTTCTCAGTTATTAGTCCAAAACTAGATGACAGCAGTACCCTTAAGAGACTGTTCTGTTCATGCGAAGCCACCCATTGCCAGTTTCTTACCCCTTTACTTCTTCAAGATACATCTAGGTCCATACCTGTTAAGTGTTTTCAGTTAGGGATTTCTTTGGAAGTAGATAAAATAATTGGAAAAATAGTAGGTTTATTACAGTTGAAAGCTTATATAAAAATATAGATTGAAAGTTGGTGTACTTTTGCCTTATTGTTACTAAAACCAGTTTTAAGGCCATTGGGTCAACTTCTATTTAAGTGTTTCCTCTCAGTATATTTGCTGGAATACTACCTTTTAATTGAAAGTGAGGTCATATCCTGTACACACTTCCATGTCTTTTCAGATTGATGTTTGTATTTCCTTCTTTGCTTGATAGCTCTTTAATTAGAGACCTAATGTTAGCACAGAGAAGGGGTTTATCTGCCCAGAGAGCTGAGGCTCGCAGTTACCGTTCTTTACCTTATCCTGTCTTTGTAATCAATGGATAACTCAAATCAAATAGGCATCTCTAGAGGGCCATGTGTCTGTCCTGTGTAAGGATGAGAGGGACCACAGTCTTGTGGACCACAGTTCACATGATATTTTTCTTAAGCACTAATTAAAACAAGCTTTATCAACAGTGAACTCAGCTGTCATGACTGTCTCTCTGCTGGGAAGTGAAATGTTATCTTTCTGATTATGCTTATTAAAAACAAACATACTGAACAAAGGCAAAAGCCTGATGCTAAATTATTTGCTGTATTTTTGCATAAGGCAGCACTGCTTCTGAAAGGTAATGTTGTCAAAGCAATAATAGATCAGAATTAGAAACATAAATAATGCGGTTGTTCAAATACCTTGGACAGTATCCACGTGGGAGAAACCGGATGGTTTTGTTTCATCTTCAAATGAGAAGAGTCAACGTGACAAGCGTTCCGAAGAGCTTGCAGAAACAGATTCCAGAGCATCTGAATCAGACTCAGAAGATAGTGAAAATGAAGCACAGAGTTCAGAAACAAATTTCAAGGTAAGTTTTCTCTTCAGATGTATTTTACATATGGTATTCGTTTTCTAGTATAATATGGTTTATCTTTTCATCTCCTGTGATAGGCTGTACTCATAGGTTAAATAGTACGACTGAAAGTAGTACTTTGGACTTGTTTGAATAGTAAAATGAATCTTTATTCAACTATTTGGCCCATTAGTGGCACTGTTCCAGAATAGAAAGCATGATCTTTCCTTCGGCCCACCAGAAGTAGCTTGAATTCTGCAAGAAATGTGATGTTTTCCGCGAAAGTTCACTGTCAGCTCTGAAATAATCCACAAAACAGTTTGGATTTCAGTGTGAGGATGACTTCAAACCTTCGTTGGTAAATGTGACTTCAGGAGATCTTCAGGGAATGCTTTTTGGCTGAAAATGACATGGTTGTAGTTTCCTTATTAATTGAGAAAAATCTTGGCAGCACGTAGTACAAAATCCATATCAAATATGTATTTTTGTCTTCAGATTTAAAACTTAAGGTAAAGGGTGTGATTATGGCTGTCGTTGGGGCAGATGTTTTTTCTGAAACTGGTAGTTCAGAACAGGCGGAGACAGTTTAAATATCAAGTGTATTCACAGACAGGTGTTAATTCTAAAATACCTATTTTTGTATCACTGTGCATCATTATAAACTACTACCAGGTATTAGCTGTAAAGTGTGTACAGCTGCATGCACAGAAAACTGTATGTGAATTTTTGCCCCCCCCTTTTTTTTTAAAGACATGCAAAGCTTTGTTTTAAAGTAAGTTTCTATTGGCTACTCCTTACTAACTTCACCCTTGATGGATGGGGTTTTCCAGCTTGAACTTTTTGTAAAGTTTAAGATTTTTTTTTTTCAACTCTATGTGATGAAAGCTCAAGGAGAAAAATTTAAAGATTTTGTTACAATATGAGTTTATTGTTTCAAGTTACTCTTGGTTGAAAAGTATGAATAGTAGATAATAGTAAATAAAAGATGTAAAATAAAGCTACATTGTGTTTTTATTTAGGCATTTTTGCTTAAGGTGGGTTTTTTCCTCTTTAGAGGAAAGGTGAAGAATCAGAGGAAGGGAAAAAATCTTCCAAAGCTAAGAAGTTAAGTCCTTATGGCAAATGGCGAGAAGTTAAGCCAGAAGAAACTGTTGATAAAAAGGGGAGTACATCACCTTCCCAAGAAACATCTAGTGATGCACCTAACAAGACCAACCCCTATGGAAAATGGAAAGCAATTAACGCAGTAGAAGAAGAAGAAAAAGAAGAAGAAGAAGAACCAAGGTGAGGATCTTTTTTACCATAGTTATTTTCATGATACTAGTTTCCAGCATACTTGTTTTCAAGAGCTGAAGCTTTTTCTTCTGAATTCTGGCAGAATTAGCACAGCAGTGATTGGAAACATAGCCCAAATACAGTTCTTTCCATGGTGATTGTTTCAATAGCTCTCCACTTGGTGGATAGCGGTGGGGTTTTGGTTTTAATGTAGAAGTTCACCATGAGTACAAATGAAATTAAAGTGATTTAAAGGATCATTGTCATCCATCACTTTTCTCAGAGGCTGAGTATCAACTCCCTAAATGTAGTTACTCTAAGCTTGTGCATTTCTTAACATCATCTCCTTCAGCAATCTGGTTCAGCTGCCTCAGGAGCTCTTGTGACTGTTTTTTTAACTGCTTCCAGCCTTGGAACAGCATAGGCAGCTTTCTCAGGGCCTCCAGCTTGCAGGCTAAATTCTGTTTCTGATGAGTAATTAGTTGGGATAACTCTGCCTGGGGTTCAAGATCTATCTTGATCTTCTAGCAACCTTATCTTGATCGTACTAGGTTAGCATTGCTTTGAATTCCTTCCCTGTGGGATCAATAGTTCCTGGCATCGAGAGTATGCTCTTCTAGACTATGAGCTATTCCTACCTAAGCCTGGCATGTTTGGCTGAGTTACTTCCACAAGCGGTGAGTTATTTCTCACTTTGTGGTGTTGTACTAACTGGTCGCTTGAAGGATGCAGCCTAAAAGACACTCCAAATTTTTTGTCTTACTTTCACCCAGTATTGCAGTAAAAGACTTCTGGTTCAACTGTTTTACTTGTTCCCTAATTTCCCTACTTTCAAAACAAAGTTAAGCAAAACCAAAGCCACTACAACCTTTTCTGCTGTCACTGTGGGTAAGTGCTGGAGACTCTTATAACGTGGTGGGAGACGCCTTCTGTAATGATTTAACTAAGGAGATGAGAGACGAAAGGTGTGATCTAGTTATGCCAGTTTTAAATCTGGAAGCTGTCTCTCTCTCTCCCATGTCCAGCTGATGTACTGCAGTTGTTTTCATGACATACATCGGATCAGGAGGTTTGATTTGGTTTGGTTTGGTTTAATGCCTGAGATGACTCAATTTTTTGGTGAAGCGTGCTGTCCTTTATGGCCAGTTTCTTATTGTGGGGCCGTGTAGGAGTCTGGAGAAATTAGGGTTTGGACAACAAATACCATCTTTTCCCTCATCCTCACCCCATTCTCCAGCATTTTAGTTTAAGTTATTCAGCAGTTTTGACACTGTTCAAGCTAAATTAAGCACTGATATTCTTCCTTGGAGATGGTAGCATTTACGTAACACCTCCTGTATTGGACCAGCTAACCGCTCCTTGACTCCAGAGCTGATAAATCCTTTCAGGTTTTTGGAAAGCACTGACCTTAGTTCAGTCTGTACACGAACACACAGGCTTGAGATATACAGACATGTAAATAAGACAAATGCAGTTGTTCGTTATTTACTTTAAATTGAGACTAGGTGCGGTGCCAGCCACTTTCAGGAGGTTTGCATTTTTGGGGCACTGCAACAGTCGCATTTTCTTGACTTGCAGTCATTCTCATGGCTCTGGTTTGGGTGCTTGAGCTGATCCATGTCTTCCTTGAAGCGTAGGACCTGAAACTAGGTATAGTACACGAGCTGACATCAAACTAACACACAGTAATACTGAAAGATTTCTTGTATGGACTGGCCAGGAATACAGCGTGTGTCTCTCTGCAGCAGTGTTACGCTGGTGTGATTCCTGACGGACTTCTGATTTAGATCATTTTCTGCGAACTGTTCGTTTGTTCTCCATGGTGTGTTTGTGCCACAGGTTACTCTTTTGGAACACAGTGTTTTGCTGTTGACCCCTTAAAACCAATTGGGCGATTTTAAGACGATGTCTTTGATTTGTTCAGATCAGTATTAGCTGTGATCCTGTTCTCCAAAGCCGCTTCTCCCAACTTGGGGGTCACTGGCTGATTTGGTAGGCCTGTTCTCTGCTCTGTCCTGGAGACCCTCAAGGATGCACACTTCTGGAAAACTACTCGATAGCATTTTGGCAGTGAACCATTGCTAGTTACTCACTGACTACTGTCTTTCAACATTCTTAAATTTACACACCTGCTGTCTTTGGCAGGACTATTCCATGACGAGTGCTCGGGCCATGCGATAAGCTCTGTACAGAATGAAGTCTTCGGGGTTTTTTACATTTTATGGCAGCCCACACAGAAGAAACAATGAACGTGGTTTTTTTCTTGATCCCTGTCATGATGGTGATCTTGCTAGAAGACTGCATCTAGCTCAAAGCTGCTTTGACAATTAAATATGGACGTTACTGTCTGCGGTACACCATGTTGTTTTCTCCTTGTAGATTTAACCCTTTCATGTTTTCCTCTCTTCTCCCAGTGAAAAAGTGGACCTGGAGCTTCCTAGTACAGAGAGTGACAATCTACCACCTCCAGTGCTAGAGGTTCCAGAAGATGCAACAATGATCTTTAAAGAGAAAACAGTCACCTCCCTTGGAGATCTGACAGAAGGGGTGCCAACATTTAAAAAGAGGAAATTTGAAAATGGAAAATCTAGAAACTTAAGACAAAGACTAAGTGATCAGTAATACTTAGTAGATCATTTTAGATTCTGTTTAAGCTAGAGTGAATCAAAAGTTTAATATTTTAAACAGGCTTTTATACAGACAATGTTGGATAGAAATTAAGGATTTATAGGTATTAAAACATATGTGAGTTGTAATATTTTTTTATTTTATTTTGATGTGATTGATTTTGGAATGGAAGTTTGTGTTATATTACTTATGCAATATTGTAAATACATTTATTTTTTATTTTAACCATGCCATCTAAGTCCGATTTGCTCTGTGTATGCTGTTTTAAATACATTGCGTAAGGTTTTTTACTCCTTTTCTAAGTATGGGAGAATGTAGCAATCCTTGATCTGGCCACAATGATTCAGACCTTTTATTTTTACAGAGGAACTGCATCAATGGCATGTACCCAAGCTTGGTTGTATGGAGTAGTTTCCCAACTAATGAGTAAAAATATTGTGCTTACTAACCTTTGGCTAATCGCTTGCAAAAGAGCAGGTGGTGAGACTGCCAACATTTCAGATAGATCGTTTGAAAGCTGTTTTTAGAGGAGTTGGTCACATCAGTGCCACTCGTTCCAAGTGGCGTTCTGAAAAATTATTTGTGGACGTGCATGATAAATGTATTAAACCTCTGCAGAAGATTTAAACCGGATGAATCTTAACTTTTAATAACAGCACCAGAGCCACCCAGCCCTGTTGGAGTAGGTATTTCTGTGGTGTCTGCCTGTTGTATTGTGCTTTATTGTTGTCTCCGCTGGAATTTTTCCTTCTTTTTACACATCAAGTTTTCTTTTTTTGGGGGGGTTTGTTTTCTTTTTTGTCTCTTTCCC